TTAATTGGGAGTTTGGGTTTCTTGGCTGGTATGACAGTGATGCATCTATATTGAAATTTAGTTTTCTTTGCGAAAATGTGTCTTTAAGTTGATATTTTTACATGAATTGGCTGCCCAATTTTATGTGGTTTTGCTCAAATAAAGGTTAAATGCCTTTGCCTGTGAAGTCTAATTCTTGTAAGAGGAAATTGCCAATAACGGTGTCAGTTATTCTGGATTCTAAGGATTTGGACACTTACCCTGTTGGAAAAACGTTGAAAGGTTGTTGACCCAGGCTCAGAAATCGGTCATCTTGGATTTCAATAATCACCATTTCTAGAAACGTTTTGTAGTATCTGAGAAGGAATGAATCGGAACGGAGAATGAACTGATGGTCAATTAACTTTTCAACAACTAAGGAAGAAATTGGATGTGATAGATACAATTTTGCAGATGGAACTTTTGAAACAAGGAAAGGCCCTTCTAGTTCGAAGGGCACTATAATTGGCAGTTCTTATGACATTCTCCAAGAGTAGAAAGGTAAGGAAGAGCAGGGTTTTTAGTACAGGGTCACTGACTCATAGTTCAGTGCAAGGTCCAGTGTTGACAGGGAAGAATAGCAAACTGGTTGCAAAAAGAAATACAAGGTTGTAGGCCTTGACGACAGCAGGGATGGTAACCCAGTCTTTTCTAGATAAATTTGTTTGGATTATTAGGGATCTGACTGACCCAAAAAACAAACTAAGGTTGTATTTGGTGTTAAATTCAAGAGATATGCCTTGTGCTCAGAGGAAACAAAGTTTGGAAGAGTTAGTTTGTCAATTCCATGGCACGAGGGTGGATATTTGCAAAATGAAGTCCTGGTTTACTAGCAAGAAATCGGTTTTCTTGAATCCTTGTAGGGTTGAGACCACTCAGAGTGCATTTGGCAATAAAGGAGTTCTTGTACCTACCCCTTATTTTGTTACTTTTTTTCTCTGCCGCCAACAATTGCTTACAAAGAAGTCTCTGGAATCAGATATAATGGCTTATAATGCTAGATGTGCCTGAGACTTACTTCTATCTTAGATGATTTTTTTTTGTCAAAGTACAAATCATTTGTTCTTTGGTTGCTCTTCCGCAGGTAAACTTTAAGTTAGAAAATTTTCATTTCTGTAAATTAGGCAGGCAGCAAAGAGATTGAGTCCTAAGTAGTGACTTCACCTTCTCTGTGGGTTGCATCAGTCGCTCATGTTTACCATGTGGAAAGAGAGGCATGCATGGATGCATCTGAGTCTGACTATGTACCAAGATGGGCACGCTGTTGTTCAAGAACTAGTGGTAGTTATCAAGTATAAGATTAGTAATATTGATAAAGTTAGAAGTACAAGCTTATAACGGGTTTCTAATTATTTCAGTCTTTTTCCTGTTTTTGTTTGTCCTGTTTGATCTGTATTACAGTTCAGTCAGTCAGTCTACTTTGATCTATTATTTTGCTGCTTTCGCAATTTGGTTTATGTATCTGATCTACTCTTGCCTCTTTTGTTAAATAATTTATTAGTTACCCAGACTAAAAGGATCTTGCTGTAAATAAGTTTTTTGCAGTTCACTGTTGGAATTAAAACCATACCTTGTTTTTTCGTTAGTGCTAGTTCGTGCTTTACGTAAGAGTTGATGATTTTACTTACCATGTAGGTTTTCCTACGAGCTTAGTATTTTTCTTCTTTTTTTCTTTTTTTTGCAGGTGGCTGATGATACTACAAAAGTTAGTATAAGTTGTTCTATTACAATGCTATACCTTGGTTAATTACAAACCGGTCATTCTCTCCTACTTTGGTTATTGGAGAAAAAGTGTACACTTATTGGTGTTGAATAAAAGGTTTTAGCGAACAATTTGAAAGTTGAGCTTATTTTTGTATGACTGGATGATATATAATATTGTACTAGTTGTTTTCTGCGTTGAAGTATGGGAAACTAGAGTCTAGAGTTGCCCGAACGATTCGTGTGTAAAGTAACATGAGAATGAGTCACCATGCTGGGCTGTTACGAGGTGCCTTGGGCCAAATGAGCAAACTATTTAAGGTATAATCTGAAGATAAAGTATACTCGTCCTATGAATTTATCATTTATACTATGAGAAGTTTTTTGTTTACAAAAACATCTAGGATTTTTTTTATCAAGGAGACATTATGGCTAATGGTAGACCTACCATGGTACGCGTTCAACTGTGATCTAATCATTTCCCGCCATCGATTCTCTATCTTTGCGTGCACTATTTCGAGTTACCTAGTACTAGTAGACTGAATCAGGAAAGTTTGGCATAGGGGAGAGAATGAATGAGCATGGGATTAACTATTCCCCATAATAATTCTCGGTTTTTCAGGTATTGTATTACGAAATTTAAATGTCGAATCAACATAATTTTTGATTCCTTATGTGCTAGTAAACTTGGGGGAAGTCGGGAATTGGAATTATTTAGATACTCATATATTTATAAATGTAGATAAAGTCAATAAAGTCAATAAAGTCAATAATTCAAATAATTCAAATACCTGTTCCAAGTAAATAAACATGCCATCAAATTGTTTCATTTTTAAAATTTCACTGGTCTACAAGATAATATTTGGTTTTATTATTTTTGTGGAAAATATTATTAAGTCGTGTGACTATTTTGGATGTTGTATGATTTTGGTTTGATCTGAAAAGATTGGAATTAAGTGAGTTTAATCACAAATTGGGACAAAAATACCCTTATGATTAAGTTTATGATTTTTCAAAGTTAAGGCGAGCGATCGCCATTCGATCGTGTAATGTAGAATAATCCGACCGTTGGATTGGGCCCAAATTGTCGCAGGGAGATATCGGGACTATTTAGAGTCCATTGGTGCGATCGGATTTCTGTGGATTTTTGGGGTGTCGGTTAGACATGTGGGACCCACGGGACCCAAATAGTGACCTTTTGGACAATGGGTGTCATTGGTCATGATTTGACGTCGACAACACGTACGTCACAGTTTTGGAGTTGGTTGGATGAGATTTGATCACTTTGGATTCCCGGTTGGTCCAAAGGGCAATTTCGTCATTAGATGCGGAATCTTGGATTTTGGAGTTTTGTGCTAAGTTGAGCTATGTACTTTGCTTAGGTACTGTTGGAGTTGAGTTGCTCGTTGAGGTTTGAGATTGAGGATTCGTTAAGTTGTTGAAGACGCAGCTTGGACGAGAGGTGAGTAAAACCA